GGGGATTCGAACCCGCCACCTTAGGTGTACGTGGCTGGCGCCTTAGCCGGTTGAGCTATAGGTGCCGAGCCAGGTGCTGAATTTTGTCAAATGCTTTTTCTGCATTTATTGAGAGGGTCATACAGTCCTCGTGTTTGCTTCTGATTATGTGGTGTAATATATTTATAGATTTGCATTTGTTGAACCATGCTTGCATCTCTGAGATAAAAAGCCCACTTGATAGTGATGAATCATTTTTTTGCTGTGTGGCTAAATTTACCTTGGTAAGATTTTATTGAGAATTTTTGCATCTATATTCATAAGAGCTATTGGCTGTAGTTTTCTTTTTGTTGTTGTTGTGTCCTTTCCTGGCTTTGGTGTCACGGTGATATTGGCTTCATAGAATGAGTTAGGAATCCTTCCTTCTCAGTGTTATGGAATAATTTCTACAGGGTAGGCCCCAGTTCTTTGTAGGTGTGGTAAAATTCAAGTGTGAAACTGGCCCAGGACTTTTTTCTATTGCAAGTTTTTTTTTATTGCTGTTTCAATTTTGGTGCTTGATATTCATCTGTACAGGAGTTCTATTTCTTCTTGATTGAGTCTGGGGAGAGTGTATGTTTTCAGGAATTTGTCCATTCTTCTGTGTTTTCAAGTTTATGAGAAGAGAGTTTTTATAGTATTCAGGAATGATGTTTTGTATTTCTGAGATAACAGTTGTCATTTCTCCTTTTTAATTTTTGATTGGCTTATTAGAGTTCGTTTTTTTCTGTTTCTGGTTAATCTAGTGAGAGGCTTGTCAATTTTGTTTATCTTTTCAAAGAAACCAACTTTTTGCTTCATTAATCTTCTATTGTAATCCTTTTGCTCTTGATTCTGTTTAGTTCTGCTCTGAGCTCGGTTATTCCCTTTCTTATGCTGGGTTCAGGATTGGTTTGTTGTTCTTTCTCCAGGTCCTTGGGATGATTTATTAGATTGCTGATTTGTGATCTTTCTGTCTTTTGGATATGGGCATTTAAGGCTATGAGTTTTCCTCTCAGGAGTGCTTTTTTTTTATCTCTTGGATTTTGATAGCTTGTGGCCCGATTATCATTTCGTTCATAGAATCTTTTGATTTCCATGTTTCTCTCTTCCTTGACCCACCTATTAATCAATAGGCAGTTTAGTTTTCATGACTTTGTACAGGGAAGAATGTTTCTGTTGGAACCAATTTCTAATTTTATTCTAATGTGTTCTGAGAAGATACATGGTGCAATTGCTATTTTTTAAAATTTGTTGAGATGTTTTTTGTAGCCTAACATGTGATCAGTCTTAGAGAATGATCCATATGCTGATGAGAAGAACATATACTTAGTACTTTTGGGGTAGAATGTAAATGTCTGTTAAGCCCACTTATTCATGTGTAAGTCCATTGTTTGTTCATATTTTTACTTTGATGCTCTGTCCCATTCTATTAGTGGGATGTTTAAGTCCCCAGAAATTATGCTGCTGTTTTATCATTTTGTTTAGATTAAGAAGGGTCTGCTTTATAAATCTGGGTGCACCTGTGTTGGGTGGATAAATATTTAGGAATGTTAGGTTTTCTTGTATTGTTCCTATCACCAATATACAGGGTATTCCAAAGGTTACCATAAATAAGAAAAATTAAGAAATCCCTATTTTATATTTTAATATGTTTTATACTTATATATCAACACAGAGAGAAATAATATTTTATAAAATTTTGCAATTAATATTTTGCAAATAAGGTACACTTAGCTATAATTTCCCATTTTCTCTGTGTATGTATGTATGCATGGCAGCCTTTAGGACACCCTGTATAATAACCATCTTCATCTTTCTTTACTTTTGTTGATTAGAAGTTTATATTATCTGCTAAAATGGCTACATCAGCTTTCTTTAAATTTTTATTTGCATGGACTGTTGTTTTCCTTCTGTTCACTTTGAGTGTGAATGAGTCCTTGTAGATTAGATGTGTTTCTTGAAGACAGTGGAAACTTGGTTTGTATTTTTTTTCTTTTTCTTTTTTTGTGGTGGGAGTGAGACAGAATTTCATTGTGTTGCCCTTGGTAGAGTGCCTTAGTGTCACAGATCACAACCTCAAACTCTTGGGCTTAAGCAGTTCTCTGCCTGAGCCTCCCAAGGGCTTGTTTTCTTTTGTTTTTTTGAGACAGAGTCTCAAGCTATTGCCCTGGATAGAATGCTGTGGCATCATAGCTCACAGCAACCTCAAACTCTTGGGCTTAAGTGATTCTCTTGCCTCAGTCTCCCAAGTAGCTGGGACTACAGGCGCCTGCCACAACGCCTGGCTAATTTTTGTTGTTGTTGTTGTTGTTGCAGTTGTCATTGTTGTTTTTTGCTGGCCTGGACTAGATTCAAGCCTGCCTGCCTTGGTGTATATGGCCAGCGCCCTACACCCACTGCCACCAGCTTATATCTTTTTTATTCATTCACCCAGCCTATGTCTCCCCAGTAGGAAGTTCAATCCGTTCCTCTTTCTAAAAAAATTTCAGAATATTAAGGCGTGCACATTTTGTTTACACACTTTGTTTTTGTGCAGATTAAGTCGAAATTATAATTTGTCCTTCACCATTCACATTTATGAAGAGAATTGATTTGTTCTTCCTGATTTCTGTTCATCCTCTTGTATCGAACTTTATTGCCTGTTTTTCCTCTTGGGTCATTGTGGTATCTGGGCTTTGATCTTTGTCCTCTGGTAATTTTATACTGGTGGGTATCCATTGTACTGATTCGTATATAATGCAGATCTGTGTACTTCCAGCAGGGCAGATCTCGTTATAACAGATTTCTTCAATGTTTGTTTGTCAGGAAAAGATTTAATTTCTTCATCAAATGTGAAACTTAGTTTTGCACGATAGAAAATTCTAGGCTAGAAGTTGTTTTGTTTAAAAAGTTTGAAGATGGGGCCCATTTCCTTTTGGTTTGTAAGGTTTCCACTGAGTAGTCTGTTATCCTAATGTGCTTTCCCTGTTGGTTAGTTGTTGCTTACATCTAGCTGCTTGTAGAATTTTCTCTTTCTTTTTGACTTTGGCCAGGTTAATTGCTATGTGTCTTGGAGATGTCCTATTTGCTGTGAATCCAGATGAGGGAGTACAGTGCCCCTAGCACTCTATGTTCCTGGGGTTTCCCAGGCAGTCTCTGATCTTGTTTTGGGTATTTCCCTGTTACCTGTTTCCTTGTCCTCCTCCCCCTGCCCTCTGCTGTGAGTAACCTGCCTTGTTTCTCTGTAATTTCATAATGTTAGTCCTGAGAAGAAGCATCTAAATGTAGGCAGCTGCTTGCACCTTTCCCTACTTTTCTTGGTAGTGGTACATTGGCAGGCTGCTTCTAGTCTGCTGGGTTTTTTGCCCCTGTAATGTTGGTTATTGACTGGCAGTGTAATAGGCACTGTGGGAATCATTTCACATAAAGACTTGTTAAAGTGATGAATTTTTGATACCTTGTATCAATAATGGGGTTCCCAATGTGAGAATCCCATTATTACTATATGACAAAGTAATAATGTATATGCTAAAGTTATGTGCACTATATTATGTTTTCTGGCATCTTTGCTTACATATGGATCAGTAATGATTTGTTAAAGCTAGTTTAATTGAAAAACTAACACAGGCGGCACTTGTGGCTCAAAGGAGTAGGGCGCCAGCCCCATATGCTGGAGGTGGCGGGTTCAAACCCAGCCCCAGCCAAAAACTGCAAAAAAAAAAAAGATAAAAATAAAAGTATAGAAGAGTAGATAAGGAAAAGTCACTCTCTTTTATCCCAGACCTAAGCTCTCTAACTTGGGAAGCTGTGCTGCCATATTCTAGTATATATAATGAGAGGAAGATTTTTTTTTTCCTTCTTAAAAACAGATGATCAGGCTGTTGTAGCTCAGTGGCTAGGGCGCCAGCCACATGCACCTGGGCTGGTTGGTTCGAACCCAGCCTGTGCTTGCCAAACAACGACAACTACAACCAAAAATAGCAAGGTGTTGTGCCTGTAGTCCCAGCTACTTGTGAGGCTGAGGCAAGAGAATTGCTTAAGCCCAAGAGTTTGAGGTTGCTATGAGCTGTGACACCATGGCACTCTACCAAGGGCGACATAGTGGGAGTCTGTCTCAAAAAAAAAAAGAAAGAAAAAAACCCCAGATGATCAGAGCATAATATCCACATTTTTCTATATTTTTCTTTTCAAGAGCTTATCCTACAGGTCATTCCGTATCTATGTGTATATTTATCTTCCCTTTCTGTGTTCATAGCTGTATAGTATTTCAGTATATGAATATGCCAGAATTAACTCCAAATGATGACTGTTTATTTCTAGAGTCTTCCTTCTGTACCTAAAGCTGTAGTAAACATTATGCATCTTAGCATTCATGAGTGTGAGTATGTCTGTAGGATAAATTGCTGTCAGTGGTGTGGCGGGGGCCTGGGGTGAGCATTTCAAATGGATGTCGATAGCCCCGATGCCCTCCCAGGGGCTGCACCTGACCTGCTCCCAGCAACAGTGTTGGTAGTGCTGTTCCTCAGTCCTTCACCTGCACTGGGCATGTGTTAACCAGCTCTGCCTGGTGAGAACTGATAGAAAAAGGTGCCCTTATGGTAATGCCCGCCTCCTCTTTCCCTTCCCAGGTGAACATGGGTGATCGATTTGGCCAGATCATGATTGAAAACCTGCGGAGACGACAGTGTGACCTGGCAGGAGTAGAAATCTGCAAGTCATTAGAGTCACAGGTTAGCAAGCAGAGACTTGAGACATCTGCATGTACCCTCAGCCCAGTAAGAAGGGGCATGCTCCCTTCCCATGTAAGAGAATGTGAGAAGCCTTGTTAGGTCCTAGTGAACACAGGCACAGGGACTTCATATGGGCCATGAACTGATGGTGCTGGGGAAGTCCAAGTCCTGCTTAGACATCTTGGTGAGGAAAATACAAATTTAGTTGAGCACTGTGGCTCAAGCCTGAAATCCCATTTACTTAGGGCCTAAGGCAAGAGAATCCCTTGAGCCCAGTAGTACAAGACAAGCCTGGGCAATTGAGCAAGAAGACCCTGTCTCTTAAAAAATGGGGGAAACAATTAGCAGTGTCATACCTCTGTAGTCTTAGCTGTTCGTGAGACTAAGGCAGGAGGATGGCTTGAGCCCAGGAGCTCAGGCTTCAGTGAGCTATGATTGTACCACTGCAGTCCGGCCTGGGTGACAAAGTAAGATATCATCTCTTAAAAATACATTTTTAAAATATATAATCTTGCTCTGTTGCCCAAGCTGGAGTGCAAGAGTGTAGTAGTGGCATTATAGCTCACTGAATTCTCAAACTCATGGGCTGAAGTGATCCTCCTGCCTCACCCTCCCGAGTAGCTGGGATTATAGGCATGTGCCACCACACCTAATTTTTCTACTTAGTAGAGACAAGGTCCCCCTCTTGCTCAGTCTCATTTAGAACTCCTGGCCTCAAGCAATCCTACCACCTTGGGCCCCCAGAGTATTGGGATTACAGGCATGATCCACTCCACCTGCCCTAGCTTTAGTACTTCTGATCTTGTCAGTATTGTTTGACATAATCCCCCACACAATTTTTTGCTGGTGGTGTTGAAATATTTTTAGATCAATCCTGGATAGTACATGATTTCACCTGTAAATACTTCAATGCGAATCTCCCTAGGATAGTGCTAATACTATTATCACTCCTTACAAATTGCCAGTAACACCTTCATGGCATGTTATATCCAACCCAGGCCATGTTCAGCTTTCCCAAATTGTTGTTTAAAAAAAGCAATTTACTAGTGTTTGATTCAGAATCTAAACAAGATTCATGCTTTATAGATGATTGATATGTCCCTGAAGTCACCTGTAGTCTATAATAGTCTCTCCCTTTCAAAAATATTAATTCATTTGCCAGAGACACCTCCAACCGGCCCCCATTCTAACAGGTTAGTTTTCCATGTCTTCCGTCACATTATCCTGGAATGCTGTAGGAAACCATGGCTGGCTGAACAGTTCTTCCTTTGTTTCTCTATGAATACACTTGAATGAGCTTCCCCCCAGTATAACAGTGTATGCTTGATAGAGAAAGTTAGAATATCGAAAGAAAGATTCTGGGGACCAGAATAGCCTTTTACAAGAAGAGTCATCTCAGAGAAAGTCTGATATGCTTAAAAGCGTCTGAGATTGGCGTGATGCCTGGTTGTTCTCCATTTGTCTTCACTGCACATTTTAGAAGGAACGGCTCCTGTCGACGGGGTGGGAAACAGCTTCAGCAATGGACATGATGGAGCTGTACACCAGGTTACCGCCAGCTGAAGTGAACAGGTATGGGCTTTGAGGCATACCACTGTGGTTGTTCATTGTGAACTCAAGGCCTGATTGTCTGTTTTTTATAATTTCAGGAAAACAAAACTGTAACTATCAATAGACCTGTTTGGTCCCACTTCTACTCATTTTTGTGCTTCCTAATTTATGCTTAACTTTTGCCTTAGAAGCCTCAGATATTAGTGCTTGATCTTTTACAAGATCATGAGAAGAATCTTTGGCTTTGCTGCTACATGTAGCTTTTTAACATCTAGAAATACTGCTGCTTTTCCTGAGTACATACGTGATGACATTGGCAATGAAAGCCTCTCAAGATTTAAGAAAGTGGTGTCTCCATGTGATCAGGTCAATGCTTCCTGGGTTCTCCTGGAAGCATCCTTTCCCAGAGGGTGGTTTTCATTTGCTGCTTGTCAAGGCAAGTATCCTGAATATCCCTGGCCTAGTATTTGTAATGGGGTTACTCTGGCATCTATTCTGGATACCCAGAGAGGAGTCTGTCACTAGCATCAACCCCAAGGAAGGTAACTTGCTTCCAGGCAGTCATTGGTCTGATGTTCACGTGGCCTTCTGTAGACAGCAACATGTAGCCCTAACAGATGTGGCAGGTAAGGATATTGGATGGGCTTTTTTTGTCTGTTTTTCCTAGGCTGAGCAACCTTCTTAGCTTTGTGTCTGTTTTTGTTATAAGCTGGAGTATAAAAAGTCTAAGGTGAGCCTATTCGTGTCAGAAAAGCTAAATGTCTGCTGTGTACTGGGCATGCTTCCAAGCACAAGGGATATAACAAAGATTAAAATAGCACAAAAGATAGGCCTGCCTTGGGAGCTTTCATTTTAGTGAACAACTTCATAAGTGGAGCCTCCTGATCATTGTACTTGGTACAACTTTGATAGAGCCTTTGATATGATGCAGCTTTTGCCAAGAATTTGATTGTAGAAAACTGCCTTGGTGAGATTGATTGGAAAGCAACCACAGGTATGGTCATTCTTACTTCAGATCCTTAGGCCTACGTACCAAGATGGTAGTGAGCGCACAAATGCAGAAACATGCACCAATACATGCACATGTGTGCACATCTGGACACAACAGAAATGGACAGATGGCAATACAAGATTGTTAGAAATGACTACTACCAACAGTAGGAACATGGATTATTATTTATTTTCTTCTGTGTATATATATATATATATAT